TCGAAAGATTGAAATTATTTACATAACTTCATCATTGGGAAAAAAAGGCACGGGAAAGCCTGTTTTGTCAAGCGGCTATGGTGTACGAACGCCGTCCGTACCTTGTCTTAATCATTAATATTAATATTAATATTAATATTAATATACTTAATTAGTATTAAGAACCAAAAATTAGTGGTCCCTAATTTCACGCTGTTTCCACGTGATTGTTCGATAATTATGACGAAGTCACTTTGGTCTAGGGGTTAGTGGAGTCATTTATTTACCAATTTAATCTACCTAATAAAGTAAATAGACTATTGGTCAAAAAATAAATAAAGAAAAAATATATATTCATTGTATTTGACGATTTTGGGTTTTTCATTCATTGAATGTAATTATGGTAATATCTAATTCATTTTAAAATAGGATGTATTAATAATTAGGATAAAATATATAAATAGTCATTCAAATATGTTAAAATGATTTTTTTTGTTATTAAATTTTTAAAAATCATAAAATAATTATTAAATTTATTGAACTATTGCAAAGTACCCTTTACACGTTATAAAAAAACGATAAAATTGGATATGTTTGTGAACCATTTTGTAATAGATTGATAAATTTAATAATTATTTTGAATAGTTTATTAAAGTTAATATCATTTTGTTACTTTTTGAGAAGTTTAATGATCATTCTCTAACTTTTATAATTTTCAATGACCAAAAACAACATTTCAACATAGTTTAAAGACTATTTGTGTAATTTACCCTAATAATTTTGTTTACATTGATTATCAAAATTTCCTATAAGCTTGTATGCCATGCATAAATTGCGAGGTTAATCCCTAATCTAATTAATTAATCTAATAATTTTAAAAATTTAAAATCTTAATCCAAAAGGCGAACTCATTAATAAAATAAGAATTCAAAAGGCAAACTCGTTAATAAAAGCGAGTGTTTTCTAGAAATTTTACATAACTATGTCTATAAAATATGTGTACATTAGTAGTTGAAAAATCTTTTGAATTGATTATATCTTATAATTATTAAATTTAATGAACTATTGCAAAGTACCCTTTACACGTTATAAAATAACGATAAAATTGGATATGTTTGTGAACCATTTTGTAATAGTTTGATAAATTTAATAATTATTTGAATAGTTTATTAAAGTTAATATCATTTTGTTACTTTTTGAGAAGTTTAATGATCATTCTCTAACTTTTATAATTTTCAATGACCAAAAACAACATTTCAACATAGTTTATAGACTATTTGTGTAATTTACCCTAATAATTTTGTTTACATTGATTATCAAATTTTCCTATAAGCTTGTATGCCATGCATAAATTGCGAGGTTAATCCCTAATCTAATTAATTTAATCTAATAATTTTAAAATTTTAAAATCTTAATCCAAAAGGCGAACTCATTAATAAAATTAGAATTCAAAAGGCAAACTCATTAATAAAAGTGAGTGTTTTTTTTTAATTTTAAATAATTACATCTATAAAATATGTGTACATTAATAATTGAAAAATCTTTTGAACTGATTCTATCTTATAATTAATCATATTATAATTATAAAAGACAGCCAAATATAAGTTTATACATGGTGGAGGAGGAAAAAAAATGTAAAAGATATTACAAAGGCAGATGGGACGTATGTGACAAAATATATCCATGCCTTCCATCAACCTCTATAATACACGTACGAATGACATGAAATAGTAGCTAACAAACGATTTTCCTAATTATGTGCTAATGTGGATGTAAACGTAAGTGATCAAATATTATTATATAATATACTTATTTGCAACAAAATTGCTGTCTTTGTTTGGTTTTTCACAAATTATTTCCATATAAACACGTATTTTAATCAAATATTGTTACAAATTATTATAGCATGTATTTTTTGGAATACATGCTATAATAATTTTTAAATTACAAACTTGTCTTAAATCATTTGGAATACAATAGATAGAGAATAATGTAATTTTTATTAATAATTTGTGTTTTATCTATCTATTAATTAATTAATAGATATAGGAAGAAAAGGGTTATTTATTACAAAAGACAATCGATATCGGCCGCATACGTTACTACTTAAGTGATTTTTAATTCAATAATGTAATATATTTAAGACAGAAGGGTAACTTTTTCCTATCATATTTTTGCATCAATTTAGTCATCGAAGTTACTCTATTGCATTATTATTTACTCTACCCCTAACTTAAATCATAAAATATAAATCTTAAACCCTAAAACATAACTTCATAACCTCTAAATCATAAGTCCTAATCCTAAACCCTATCTTAAGGTTTATAATTTAGGGTTTTAAGTTATGGATAAGATATATAATGATGCAATTAAACAACTTTGAGGGCTAAAATGATGTGAAAATACGATAGGGGCGAAAATGATAACTTGGGTCTACTATAGGGCAATGGTGACCCTTAAGCCTATATTTAAATATTAAATTATTCATAATTTACACGTATGTGATATCAATTAGGAAAATTTTACGATGCTCGACGAGCGCCGTTGAGCACCAGTAACAATGAGCACCGTTAATTTAATTTATACAAATTTAAATTTTTAAGGACTCTATGTATAATTGTAAATTATTTAAAAATTTAAAAGCAAATTAGTTAAAATAAAAATATTTATTATATTATTTTTCATTGTCTTTTTTTTTCCAGTAAACTATATCAGTGACTACCTAACCATTGTCCTTTTTCATTTTGATCACCATTTATGAAATTTTGTCAATCAAGTCACTAAACTATTTAAATACATTCAATCAAGCCACTTGTCGTTAACAATTAACGGAAGTGTTGATGTGACAGTTAATAAAATTTATAAAATTTATAAAATTATACATTTAGTCATTATTACTTACACGATCTATCAAATTGGTCATATTTTGAAATTAATTAAATATATTTTATCCTCCAATCATATAACTTCAAATCTTTTATATTGAAATATTAACAAATGATACATAGAGAATTATCCTCCAATCATATAACTTCACATTTTTGAATTATAATTTGATGATTTAAAATAAATAAGGGAAATAAAAAAGAAAATCGGTGGATCAACAACGAAACATGTTTGAGATGATTATGTAGTTGTTGATATCGATATGTATACAATAAACCAAGTTTCACGTGGTATTTTTTTTAGTAACAATACTTATAATATTTTATATTATTTTGATGTTTTTTTATTTAATATTGTTTTACATCTATATCTATATGTCTCATATATATTGAGCTACAATTTTGATGTTTATTAAGATATATTTTAAAATTTTCTTAAAAGAAAGTAAAATATTATTTGTTTTATCATTGAACTTCTTAAAAATTAATTGTTATTATTTGAATAAAAATTTTATTTTTTTAAAAAATCTATTTAGTGATTAGACAATTGACATGATAAAATCATCAAATTATAATTCTCTGTGTATCATTTGTTAATATTACAATATAAAAGATTTTGAAGTTATATGATTGGAGGATAAAATATATTGAAATAATTTAAAATTATGACCAATTTGATAGATTGTGTAATTAATAACGATTAAACATGTAATTATACAAATTTTATTAATTGCCACATCAGCACTTCCGTGAATTGTTAATAGCAAGTGGCTTGATTGAATGCATTTAAATAGTTTAATGACCTGATTGATAAAATTTCAAAAATGATGGTCAAAATGAAAAGGAAAATAGTTAGATGATCACTGATATAGTTTACCCGAAAAGATTATGAAAAATAATATAATGAATATTTTATTTTAACTAATTTATAATTATATGTTAAGTTTTTTAAAAAATTTAAATTTTTATAAATAAAATTATAATATTCATCGTTAGTGATGTTCAACAGTACCAGTCGAATATAAAAGAATCATCTTAAATAATCTCAACAACATAAAAGGGGAAAATAAAATCAATCTCAATTACAAGGTCAGAAAAAGTAGTTGCGGTTTTTCGGGTGCAAGAGGCGAATAATGGAAAGTTTATGTCTTGCCACGTGGATGAAACTGGAACCAGTCGATGAAAATGCAATGGTGTAGATTCAAAGCTTTAGATTATTGAATTCACTGACACTGGAAGAGAACTGTAGTGAACTGCCCACAGACATTTTCTTCCGATCCCTGTCTCTTTTCTTTTCAATCCTCTGTCCCTCGACAAAAGTGAAGATTAATAGCAGAGTTTTGGGTCTAAATGTCTAATTACGGTTTAAAACCTCTACATATTTAAATTTAAGATTTAATAATTTATTTAATATAAATTTTGTTGATAATTTTCTCACAGAAAATATAACTCGACTAATTTTCTTACAGAAAAAAACAAATCATCACCCTCAATATCAACAGTAAATTAAAATTAAAATTTTATGATTTAATCTGATGAAATTTTTATGATTTAATGTGAAGTGATGCAATTTTTATGATTTTTATATAAATTTTGATATAATAAAATTTTAATCTATTTATGTTTTTATGTCTAAGATTTCACCTAAAATATATGTTGATTTTATTTTTCTTATTTTTGTTTTTTTATCATTGTTTTTCTTTTACATTTTGTAATGATTAAAAAATAAGTTATATAAATTAAAATTAATGGATAAATAAAAATTAGACCCTTGTTTTGATATTTGGTATGATTTTGAAGGGGAGTGGTTTTTTTTTTTTTTTTTTTTATAAATGAGTGGAAAGTGCAGCAGGGAGCGGAGGGCAGTTCTCATGGCGGCGTTGCAGGGGCTTAAATTCCGTGCATTATTGCCTAAGAACTGAAGGGATAGAGAAAACCATCGTTGTTCTCTTTATTTTATTTAACCCTAAAACGAAAATCTCAACTATTTTTCATTTTTAACCTCTAAAGAAAACAGCCAAAGATCGTAGAAGAAAGAAAACAGGCTCTGTACTTAAAATTCTAGCGGTTCCAGAGGTCAGAAACAACAAAATCGGGTCAAAACGAAACACTCCTAGACTAACAGTGGTCTTTAAAAAATCACCAGAAAAAGCTTCCTCCATTGAAACACTAGCTCAGCACGCTAGTGATCTGGGTGGGGTGAGAGTGGGGGACACACTAAATAGGGTGTTTCTGCTATGGGATTTTGGCCCAAATTGAGGAGGGTTTCAGATTTCGGGTGTAACAAATGGCCGGCTTCTTCTATCTAGGCGGACGAGAAGGAGTAGCAGCAGCAGCTGCCAACAAACAAGAAGGAGAAGATAAAGAAGAGAGTCTATATTTGTATAGAAACGAGGAGATCTACAACAACAACAACAACAAAGGGTTTGAGATATGGCCGCAGTATTATTACCAACAGCAGCAAAACATAAGCCACTACTCATTTGGAGCGGGTACCAGCCAAAGAACCACTGGGTTTAACTTATCCGATGACTCATCTTCGAGATCGGCGGGGTTCACGATTATGAGACAAGGAGGGATGAGCTGCCAGGATTGTGGGAACCAAGCTAAAAAGGATTGTGCTCATTTGAGGTGCAGGACTTGTTGCAAAAGCCGAGGGTTTCAGTGCCAGACGCACGTCAAGAGTACTTGGGTTCCCGCTGCTAGAAGGCGGGAGAGGCAACAACAGCTCGCAGCTTTGCAACCACAGCACCAAAATCAACAACAACATGAGTTTCGAGGAGAGATCACCAAAAGGCAGAGAGAGAATCAAGGCGTTCCCTCTCTTACCTGCACATCAGGTAAAACAATTGTAGTTTACGATACAAACAAAGATGAAAAATCAAAGCCAGAATGATGGTGAATTTTAAAGAACTTTGTGTTTCTAACTTAAGCTAGACAAACTCTAATTTATTGTAATGTTTTTGAGGAATCGATTCTTTTAACTTAAGACCGTATCATTTGCGTGTGAGCAAGTCCACCTCCATCGTCCATAGTCACCCGACCACCTACCTGCTACTTTTCCTTTTCTTTTCTTCTTCTTTTTTTCCCATTATTTCCGCCACTGTTTGATGGTAAAACTGACGATGAATTCCCAAAATATTCGGAAATAATTCAAAGAAAGTCTCTCTTTCTGCTTTTCTTTTCATTTTATTAACTTTACCTTATTAAGTTTTTTACACTATGAAAAAATTAGGGTTGGAACTGGGTCAATTCCCTCCCGAAGTGAGTTCAGAAGCAGTGTTCCGCTGTGTGAAAGTAAGCGCTATAGACGACGTAGACGAGGAATTCGCTTATCAAACGGACGTGAGCATCGCCGGGCATGTGTTCAAAGGAATTCTCTACGATCAAGGCCCAGAAAATCGTTACACCGGTGGCGGTGAAAGCTCTCGGCGACTTAATCTAATCACAGCAGCAGCTACGACGACGACCCCAGTTTCTAGTTCGAGCAATCCAGGCACGAATATGCTGGACCCTTCGGTCTACCCAGCTCCACTCAACGCTTTCATTGCTGGTACGCATTTCTTCTCACCTCCAAGGTATTGATTTAGGGCCACTCTATCCTTCCTTTCAGCAGAAACCTTGCACTTGTCAGATTCATCGTTTATTATTGGTTTTTTTCCTTAGCTACTAGTATGTTAAATGTTAACACCCAACGAACTAGACAGCATATAATTTAAATGAGAATAGAAACTGAGAATACATATGAATTGGGGGATGTTGATTTTTGTTTTCTAATTTCATTTCAGATTTTTAGTAAATTTTTTATACGACCAATGGATGAGTAGTAGTACTCGTTTACTTTATTTCTGTTGTTTCGACTTGAGTGTACTTTATTAGTGTAGCATGTGGATGTGTGCTTTATTTTTTTTATTTCTTGCTTTGTTGGGTTGTTGATTGATCTTGAATCTGCTTGCAAAGAAATGGGACGAGAAAATTAGATTTCGTGTAGGGCAGAAAGCCAGAAACAATGAGTTCTCAAAACCCTTTTTCTTTAATTTTTAAATCTCTCTAAACATGAAAAGAAAGAAAGAAAATATTTATACAAAGTCGGATTCAGATTTCACAGTGGATAGGTATCTACTTTCGAAAAATTGTGGATCCACCACTCAACATATTTTCCATACGTATAAACGTATTAAGCATTTATATCAGCCATTTATCTCCGGAAAAAAAATTCAAAATTGAGCCAGTTGAATAGGACGTGCATGGGGTTGTGACCCACTAATGGAATGCATAGCTTTCCTGATAAATTTTAATGCTTCACTGCAAATCATATGCATGTGATTTATAGTCTGAGACTGATGATGTAGGCTACGGTACGTAAGGTGTTAATGGATATCTATGGAGATGCTTCTGTTCGGTAGGCTTCTTGAATTATCATGGAGAAGAACACAAGAAACTCAAAGCTCAAGCAACTTTCCTATGTTTTGTAGCTTCTGATTCTAAAACATGTGCTCTCATCATTCGATCTTGAAGATATTGCACCTCTTTTAAACGACCAACTTTTCTTAAGTCGATGTTGTTTTCGTTGCCTTTAGTAAGTTTCATGTAGGGTTTTGTAGAAGATAAGCAAGGTTAGCATGAATGTAAGGACGGATGCATGGTCTTATAGAATAAAATTTTAAAATTTTAGAGAAATAAAATCATGTTATGAGAGAGAATACATAGAAAACCTAATAAAATATACAATAATTAAAAAAAAATCAAGTGACGAGGGGCTCAATCCATCCTATAGAAAAAGACTTGACCTAGAACCATCTTTTCTACCATCTATTTTCATAGGAAAAAGGATAAGAATAATAACAAAATTATGGTATTCGTTGGAGGTAATAATGTGGGATAATGATTAAATTAATGCATCATTTTGCTAAGATTAACTTCAAAAATTTCAAATTATTATTAATAATATTTTAGTTTTTTGAAATCGTTTAAACTAATGTGTATTTAATACAATATCATAAATATTAATTAATTTACTAATAGTACTTATTTGCAAAATTCAATCAGGCAAGGCAATGTACGATATTTAATATAAAGAGCAGGGTGCCCCTACCTTAACCTTAGCAACACGAAATATTTATGATTAGTGGTTTTAGATCCCAAGGTCATTTCCTAACCATAAAAGCTGCCAAACTTAATTGATTATGTGCCCTAGAATTACTTTACCAGTTCAATTCATTGACAAATAAAATTATGAATTTGGCATATTTAGAAGTGGCTACCTGTTATCGATTAATTTAATTAATTTATTGTCTTTGAAGCCAATTTGATCTATAATGGATATGACTCCATTAATGAAGTTATTATTACACCTTTAATATCATCGTTATTTTTTTTAATATTTTATTGCATGAGATCTTAAGAATTATCTATCCCATAGATTTTGTCGAAATATTTCATACGTTCAGTAGGTTAATAAAATATATTAAAAACGCCTTAAGAAATGTTAGTTCATAACTTCAAATTCTGTTAAAGATTTATTATTATAAAGATATTATACATGAATATATTTTAAAATAATGTCAGAGTCCGATATATTTGTATATAACATAAAACTTTTAATTTCACGTATCTTTTAGATCATATTAAATAAGTGTAAATAGATGATTATGTTTATATTTTTATAAATATTTTTTTATTTTTTAATATTAATTTTGTTTATCTAATTTTTACTCATTTAATAAATCTAAAATATATAAAACTAACAAATTCTATACGGTATGAACATATCTTGCATCTTTAATTTAAAATATGAGTATGCAATTTTATATATAGTAACATCCTAACATTTATTTTAATCGGACAATAGTATATGATTGATTGGATTGGTAATCAAATTCATATTTACTTAATAACCTTTGGTGGGATAGGGAATTTTTGTAAATGACACCACCCTGAGATGACATTCACATGTGGGCTGCCGCATGCTTTGGCAGCTCAATGACACGACTTGGAGTTGACTCTCATCATCAAAAATTAGATAATCCCAAGAATATGGTACATAATTCTTCTTTGATAACACTTTCATTGCACCCATAAACCCTGAAAACTTGTTTTAGGATACGAGCAAGGTCGATATAAGGTTTTAAGTTTAAGTTAAATATATAAAATTTTAAAAGAAAATAAGTAGATAAAAACATATTTTAAAAACTATAAAATATATCTAATATATATATATATATATAAATGTAATTCTTTTTAGAGAATAATTGTCTTTACATGCCCCACTTAAGTCCATCACTGGATATGAGTTAACAGATTAAGCAGTCAGTTTTCTAATTTAAAATAATTCACATACCTTAAAAATGGCTGTCCCTTTTTCCCATATGTATGAGGAAAGGACAGGTTAGATAGTAGGTTACCCCCAACACCAAGTTGAGAGCAGCTTCCGTAAGAAACTTCCAAATTATGAAATGCCCTCCGTGGAACTCGATCCCACGACCTCAAGGTTAAAAACCTTGTGTTTTACCAACTAAGCTGGATGATCATTTGATATTCGTTTACCTAATTTAGATGTATGTGTATTTAGGAATGGACATATAATTTAATATTAGGTTGAGTTTTAAAAATTTTAAGAATATATGAATTTATAAAATTTTAAAAGATGAATCTATATTATTAATAAAAAAATATATACAATAATTCAAAATTTTCAAGGAGACAATTGCGTGTCTACCCCTGTCCATCCATGTGTGTCTCCTGGTTGGCATAATTAGAAAGCAGGATTGATGAATTGGTTAATGATTATCCAGCTTAAAGATGAGTTATGGTTTTGGGGCAATAATAAAATCAGAAAAGATGCTTTGTTTGCTCTTCATCTTGTCTGAGAGAAAAGATATATGATGGGTAGTAGGGAGGGCATAGGTGTGTGTATTTTGAGTAAAACGAAAAGGCCCATTACCTGACCAAAGCTAACATTGAGATTGTGGTAATCACTGTTCGTCAACAGCCACAGAGCTGCTATATTTCGTTCTGGGAACTTCCCTAATTACCGATTCCTCTGCATCGTATGACATGGTTGGTCCTATTTATCATTTGGCTAAAAGATATCACACCTCATTCACTTATTAGTAACATCATAAACGACTCATCTAATTTCAAAAAATTATAGTCTAGTTATCCAATTAAAATCTTGTTACAATCCAGCCACTCTATTAAAAATGAAACACAGGTATGATATAATAATAGAATTTAGTTTCCAAAATGTATACATTCTAGTAATGGTTCTAATTTAAAATAATTCACTAAATGTATCCTTTTATACTTAAAAATCATACCGATTTAATCTTTATTTTCCCCTCAAATTACTCATTCTTCTCCCAAATTGCTTTTGCTTCATCATTTATTATCATCTATTGACACTTGATTAAATGTCAAACCATATATAAAAAAGTCGTCTAATCCTAAAAAAATATGGAAAAGAAATAATGTAATTAATATTTTATTTTAAATAATTTACCTTTAAATTTTTAACTAACTTATAATTATTTGTTGAATCCTTCAAAATTTTAATTTTTTTATAAATTAAATTAATGGTGCTCAACGGTATTCATCGTTAGCGGTGCTCGACGAGCGTTACAAAATTTTCCCTCTAATAAATATGATAAAATCAATACAAATCCTTGATAGAATATGTCTAACCTTAAAAACTATTATGAAATATAAACAGTGAAGAACAAGTAATTGGAGAAAAAAATAAAGAATAAATTGACATAAATTTTAAATATAAAAATTTAATTTTTTTTAATTAGCTCTAAAATAGATAGAACATATAGATTCTAGAGACTAAAACTATTATTATGTAAAGGCTCGTCAGACGTTAGTTTCATTTTTAATGGAGGAGTGACTTGATTGTAACTTCTTAAAATTAGGTGATGCTTTTATAACTTGAAAAATAACTGAGTGGTTTTGGTTGTATTTTACTCATATCCTTATTATGCTAGCGGGAAGGAAAAACAAAGGGCCAAAAGAGTAGCATGTAGGGTTTCCGGGAGTAGGGCAAAATATAGGGATGTGAAGAAAGGGTTTTGGCATGCGAATCTGCTGGTGGTATATTTTGTGTGGGGGGTGGGGGGGTGGGGTTCTTTTGCTGCAAATTGTGTGGTCCTATAACTCAGTTTTTGTTTCATGAGCAAGGCAGATCGTTGAGATTATCTATGAAGAAGAAAAAGAGAGTCTCTGTTTGCATGTAAAAGCTAAGCTCCTTGCATGCACTGCAGGGTGCAGCAACGCCAGCTACTCAATCAATAGCGTGAGGATTTCATAAGCAAAAGCCGCCATATTCCTTCCCCCCCCCCCCTTATATTTATCTTTACCACTAGCAGTACCCTAAAAGGTTAAAGCAAACCTGCTTTAAATTGGATATATATATATATGGCAAAATAATTGTGAGATAATGGTTTGAAAAAAATTGGTTTATTTAGTGTTGGTGGAATTAATTGCTGAGATGGTTTAATTGTTATAGTGTCAGTAGGAAATCATGCGAACCATATGATGTTTTTGAGAAGACTCTCGGAGAATTCAAGATCTTTCGAAAAGCACATGAAAGACACAATGTCTTTCCCAAGTCTATATGTGGTCAGAACACCAAATATTACAGAGATTTCGTGAGTTGAAAATTATATAGTCTAGAGGTCGTCGGGTAATCTAGTTGGCTTCATGAAGTCGACAGGTGATCATGACATTTTTCAACGTATA